GCGCTATCGATGCTATGCTTTTATTTGAATCTTAAGAGATTCTAAGATTAGAAACACTCTTGGTAACGTCTTCTCCTAACTGCAATTATTACGACTATCTACACTGGTCGACTTCGTGGGCGGCAGTTCGCCTATCAAAATAGCCAATTATAAGAAAGTTCTTAGCAATCCCAGCCAGAGCGCTCTTTATTGCCATTGTTTCGGTCCAAGAGCGAAATCTGTAGTGCACCAGATAGACTGAAATGCGCAAATTGCGGGTACGCCCCTGCAAAAGCACACTCTATTTTTATCATTCCGTAAGTTAGAATTGTGTACGTTTCGATGACTGGATACGAGCCGATCTGAAATTACCTTACTGTTGTCGAGATTCTACTGATGTTAGGGGAAAAGATTGACATTCTCAACACAATCTTTAACTTTATAAAAGAGCAAATTTAGAAGAACAGTTATGTGTAGTAGTGGAAACCTACAAACAAGAAACTAACGCTGAGCATATTTCGCTCATTTTTTTGCGTATAAAAAGAATAGCGAATCCTGTTTGCCTCAGTCATGGTTTATTTATGTACAACATTCATCTTCGTACATATTATCGCACCGCAGACGTTTTGGGTGTCTTTGAAACCTAGCGAATGCGGTACTAGAAGAGAAGTAAGATGCTAATGAACACGCGAAAACATTGTTTTTTGTCATTAACGCAAATTCGCAAATCCTATGATTAGCTAAAAACCTTAAAAAACTTGGCGCTTTTCTGGCACTTCGACAGTGAACTCTGCACTCCCATACTCCACTGATTTAGTGCATGAAAACGCATATCTCGACTATTGCCGTAAATGACGAAGATGCATCAACAGCAGCCACTCTTAACATCAGCCTCGATGTGCCAGAGGAGCGCAGCGATACGATTACGGTTCGTTGCCTTCCAACGCATCCTTTCGAGCATTTTCACCAACTTTTTCAATTACAACTTGACGTGAACCTGTTATTTCTACAGAAATAAAAGAAGGGAAAATTGTTTTTAGAATAATTTATTGAAAGCTTATCACATTTATTCGAAAAATATTTCCTGTTGGAAACTCATGAACATTTATTTTCTAGACCCCTTGCCCTCTGCAACCGGTACAGGTTACCCCACCCCTGCCTAATATGCCACCGCCACCAGCTGAACATGGGCCAAAACATCAGGACTTATTAAGATTTATTATGGAAAATCACCTGGAAACCTCGTAAGTTTCCACCCATGGAAAACCTTCGATCCTCAAACTTACATATCTAACCGTGAATGTGAATCTTTTACAGAGACGTGTAAATGGAGGATTTCCAACGACTCCCTTCTCTCTCTCTCTCTCTCTTGCTCAGTGACATGCCAAAGCGACAGTATTGCTTTTGTTTGTATGCATTGTTC